CGCAGGGTGCTGGGTCAGGGCCCCTCAGGCGCCGGGACCCCTCAGACACCGAGATTCCCTCGGGGTGCTGGATCGGGGCCCTTCAGGCACTGGGATCCCCTCAGCGTGTTGGGTCAGGACCCCTCAAGCACCAAGATCCCTTCTCAGGGTGCTGGGTCATGGCCCCTCAGGCACTGAGAGTCCCTCAGGGTGCTGTGCCAGGGCCCTCAGACACTGGGACCCCCTTAGACACCGATAACCCCCCTCTCAGGGTGCTAGATCAGGGTCCCTCAGGCATCAGGACCCCCTCAGGCACCGAGATTCCATCGGGGTGTTAGATCGGGGTCCTTCTGGCACCGGGACCCCCTCAGGGTGTTGTGTCAGGCCGCCTCAGGCACCGAGATCCCTTCTCAGGGTGCTGGGTCAGGGCCCCCCAGGCACTGAGTGTCCCCCAGCCCCACCTTAGCACGAGTGCTGAGCACCCCCAGGGAGCTGGGGACCCCAGGAGTGGGGCTCTTCTTTGTTATGGCCTGAGGGACATTTTCTGGTGGGTCTCCTGCAGGGGTGTGTGGCCCAGGCACGTCAGGGCTGGTGTCATCCCCAAAAGTTGCCCAATGTACCAGGGAGTTTCCTGGCTCCCCTTAAAGCCGGGGGCAGGTCTGTGCCATGCTGCTTCTACCTCCTGTGGTTCAGGTACTGGTGGCCCTTGGCGTGGACCTGCCACCCTTCTGGAGCAGCCCTTTTCCTCACTGGGTGGCTGTCACAGAGGCCTGGGGCTCTGAGCAGTGCAGGAGCACAGTGCCAGGGTGGCCTCCAAGATCTGCATTGGTTGTCGTCCTTCAGAGTGGGTCTCATCGTGCCAGCAGTGCTTCCCCCCAGCTGAGTGGTCACCCTCAGTTCTTTCTCAGGGGCTGAGGGGTTCTGCTTGCTGAGTTGGCACGTAACCCACTGTAGATGTTTGGTTTTGAAGGCCACAGAGCGTGCTCATAGACAGCTGAGCTAGGTAAGGAAGCCACGTGTGCCACAGCACATGAAAGATACCCAGGGTAAAAACCACGGAGAGTAACCCTCCTTTTGTAGGAGAACTCTGGTGAGCTGAGCAGTGGACCAAAGCTCCAAGGATCATACGCTAGCCCTGCGGAGAGGTCTGGGGGAGAAGGTGACAGGGTGGTTACTGGTGTTCACCGAGCCGTGTTCATCCCCTGTGCTTGCAGGACACTACACCCGATGAACTGCTGTCTGCTGTTATGACAGCTGTCCTTCAAGATGTCAATCTTCGTCCTGAGGCACTGGGAGACATCTGTGTGGGTGAGTGAACAGCCTGTCTGGACGTGGAGTCACTGGTCTGGATAGTTTCCAGGCCAGGCTGCTCCTGGTGTCCCGTGGGATGCTCCAGAGCGTGGTGGGGTTGGAAGGGGTTGGCGTGTAGCGTTAAATTGATGAAATCGGTGCATCCCTGGTGACTGTTCTGTCAGGCTGTGGGTCGGGTGTGGGTCTGGTGTGGGTGTTGGATGGTGCCAGGCCTTGGTGACGTTGCCATCCCTGCGACGCCTGTGGTGAGTAGCGAGGGGCGTGCAGCCGATTGACTGGAATCCTATCTTTGCACTCAGGAAACGTGCTGCAGCCTGGAGCTGGTGCTTTGATTGCAAGAGTTGCACAGTTTCTAAGGTAAACTTGACCAGATGGAGGTTCCTCCTCCCCTTCTCGGGCCTTGGCTGTGGAGCAGCACTGGGTCAGAGGTTGTGATGAGGCTGGAGCGCTGCTAGGAAGTTATGGCTAATCACCTTTTGCCTAGAAGCTAGACTTTGATCCTGTGTTGGGAGAGCCATGACGGGGTTTGGAGAACCCTGCTGGCACAGGTCAGAGAGGCAGAGGTGAGGGCAGTTAATCTGGGCTATGTGTGTTGAGCCCCTGAACAGGAGATCTTGTTTTGTGGGCTCCCTGACGACATTTTTGGGGAAGACATTTTTCCTAATGTCCAATATAAACCTCTCCTGGAGCAACCCAAAACCTTTTCCTCTTGTCCTATCGCTTGTTCCTTGGGGGAAGAAAACAACCCCCACCTGGCTCCAACCTCCTGTCAGGGAGTTGTTGGGAGCCAGAAGGTCTCTGAGCCTCCTTAGCTCCAGGCTGAACATCCCCAGGTCCCTCAGCTGCTCGCCACCAGACTTCTGCTCTAGACTCTTCCCCAGCTTTGTTGCCATTCTCTGGCCGTGCTCCAGCCTCTCCATGTCCTTTTGGGGTGAAGGGCCCAAAACTGAACGGCAGATTTGAGGTGTGGCCTCACCAGTGCTGAGTGCAGGGGGACGATCCCTGCCCTAGTCCTGCTGAGCACACAGCCTGCTGGTACAGAAGTCAGGTGTGGAAATGGTTTATGAACTTTGCTTTCTCTTGGTGCAGGACCAAATAGGTCGATAAATGCATAAAGGGATCTGTCTTGAACTTGAGGGTTAAAGTTTAATCAGGTGGCTCAGTGCTCCCTTTGGGGGCTTGGTTTGATGTGTGCTTTGTGTCACTGAGTCCTTCCCTCGCTGTCTTGCCTTCCAGTGGTATTCCCGAGACGGTGCCGTGCTCGAGCGTGAACCGGCAGTGCTCCTCGGGGCTGCAGGCCATTGCCAGCATAGCTGGTAGGTGCCAGGCACCCCTACAGTCAGAGTGGTTTGGGGTGGGAGGGACCTTAGAGATCATCTAGCTCCACGAGCAGGGACACTTTCAACTAGACCAGGTTGCTCAAAGCCCCATCCAGCCTGGCCTTGAACACCTCCAGTGATGGAGCATCCACAGCTTCCCTGAGCAACCTGTTCCGGTCTCTTGCCACCCTCGTAGTGACTCAGGTGGGAGTTGATGCCTGCCCCACCCCAAGTGCTCATTTCTCCTGTCCTGTAGTCAGTCTGAGCAGTGTAAATAGCAATAATGTCTTCTGCTGTTAGGAATTTTCAATGTATTGTTGGTTGAATGCTTTTATAGCTTTCAGTGGCCAACTTTACCTCTAGAGAAGCAACTTAGTTTTCTGAGGAGAAGTTGTACCATCATTTCTGTACCAGGCAGCTTCCATTGTTGCATGTCAGAGCATGGTGGAGGTGACACCCTGTTTGGGTGCAGTAGGTGCCTCAGGTGTTCATGACCCCTCAGCTGGGGTGGAAATGCTTTTGCTCCCAGCAGTACTAAGAGTTTTTATCCACTGCTGTTACAGGTGGCATCCGAAATGGAGCGTATGACATCGGCTTGGCCTGTGGGTAAGAAACTTGTTATGGCACTTGCTTAAGTGAGCAACCTTGGAAGGCTGCACTCTGTCCCTCTGCACCAGCTCTTGTGTGAGGAGTTAGAAACCCCTTCCAACCAGCTCTGGCCTCCCCAAGGAAGGTGCCGTCCTCCTCTGACAAATGGATTAATACACTCTAAAATTAGGACCTGAATTTGCACGCTGGCTGCAGATGCAATTTGTGCATTTCCAGAGGCTTCTGAGTACTTTTGCAGAAGATGGGTCATCCTAAAGGACCTGAGGGAAGGTGCCTGAAAATCCTTTCATTCCCCTGGAGGTTTTGGCCTTGGTGTCACATCTGCTGGGGTTGCAGTGAGAGGCTGAGTATCTCTTACAAGCCTGCAAAAAGCCTCTTGTTTTGGGGTCCTCTGGCCCTGCTGTGGGATGCCACTTGTGTGCAGAGCCTGCCATAATTTGCTTTTTAACTAACCTCCAATTAATCAGTGTCCTTGAAGACCAGGAGCTCTCCTGCATAAAGAACTGAAGGTCCTACTCATGCTAATAACTGTCCTACAGACTTATAGGAGATGTTCTTCTGCAGTGCAGGGGCATGCTATTCTTTGCTTCAGTCCAACATCAAAACAAGTGTTTATTTTTCAGAGGATTATGAGTTAGGTTGGCTTTGGAGAACTGGTAGTGACCACACACACGTTCACTTCAGAAGGACAAATGAAGATAAAGAAAGTATTCAGTAATCTGAGGCCACAATAATTTGGTTTCTTCTCTTTTTCTTTACCTTGGTAACTCTTAAGTGTTTCTTGAATTGCTCCTGCACACAGCCATCAGTAGTCCTTAGGCAGATGTTTAGTTTTTCAGCTTCTCAACGTGTGCCTGTACCTGTTTGAAGCAGATGTGATGTTCCACACCCCCTCCCTTCTTGGGCTGCTCTGAAATAAAGCAGCTCAGCAGGACGAGCCTGTTCCTCCAACACAGGCAGCACAGGCAGGGCTCATGCTGCAACATGTCTCACAGTCACTCCTTCCCTTTAACATGCTCTTTTCAGACATTGCTTGGCAGTGTCCACCAAAATGATGTGCTTAAGGCTACTGAAGGGGCTTGTGGGGGTGGCCTTGGCACCTTGGGGTGTGCAGGCCACTGGGTTTTGTTGTGGGGAGTGTCCTGGCCTCTACCCTGCAGGGTCCTCCATGAAGATGCTAAAGTCCAAGAGGTACAAATGGCTCCTGTGAGTTGGGTTTATCCCAAGTCAGGCTCTTCCCCTGAGTGGACTTGCCCACTCTGTAGGTGGAGAGATGCTGGATGACAACACAAAACACAGAGCTGTGCTTGGCTCTGACTTGAAACTGGATTCTGTACCTTCCTTTAGGGAGCAGATGCAGCTGAAGTCAAGTAATGCAGCATCCCACAGTAGTTAATTTCCTGGTACTGCAGGCTGCTTGGGGAGAACCCTTAATTTCTGCTTGTCTTGCATTTTCCAGGAGCAGTGTCTTTGTTATTTACTCTCATGAAGTGTATTTGTGTGGTATGGAGTAGAATTCAGACCCTCTCCACCCCGTAGGCTTCATGGTCTAGACTGACTTTACAAAAGCTCAGGAGTCTTTAAGTGATGGCTCCGTATTTCTGCAGTAAATTTGGTTATCTTCAATCTGTTAACTCATTTTAGGTCAAAGACTGCAGCCTCAGGGACCCATGTCCTACATTCTTTGTGTTGTGAACTACGAATGGCCAAACTCACAGAAGTTCCTGTTGTGGTTTGCTTAATACTGTTCTTAGTACGCTGCCAAACAGTTCTTAGGCTGTAAGGGGCATTTTTATGGCTGTTGACAGTCTTGCTGGAAACTCCAGTCCTGGAACTTTAGTTTTCTTGTTATGTTTGAGGACAGGAGTGCCAGAACCCTTGGCAATTCCTTCCTAGCTGTGGAAACACAAGAAATTAACTGTTGCCATTGGTATCCTGTTCTTGTAGAACAAGAACCAGCTGAATTTAGCAATCAGTTTTCATTTCAGGGTCATAAATTGATGGTTGAAGAGCTTCTGCCTCAGCCTTAAGGACTAGCTGTGCTTCTGTAGGGTAGCAGGAAAGCCTGTTGTCAAGATGCAGAGTTTTGATCAGTCTCAGTTGAGCAGTTTCCACAAATACTGCATGAGAGCACTGGCAGCAGATTCAGGTTTCTCTTGTGCCTAGCGTGGAAACGATGTCCCTCCGAAGCGCCAACAACCCCGGTGATATCAGCTCCAGCATGATGGAGAACAGCAGAGCTCGAGACTGCCTGATCCCCATGGGGTAAGTTCACACCACAGCTCAAGGGTTTTCTAGATGGTTCATCTCTTTAATGACCATGTGGCTTTGAATCACTCTGAATGTGTGGAGCTTGGATCTCTATGTGTCGGCATCCTCCCTGGCTGTGGTAGAAGATTGGCTGAATGTGGGGTAGATGAGCAACCTCAGTGAAAGGTTTCCTTACATCTTAAGCTCAATGGCTTAATGAGAGAGGAAAATGGATTTGAAGATTGTCTTGGTCCTGGATTTGATTCAGGATTTGCTTCTGCCCAGCAGTTCTAGGTTGAGAAGCCAGCAGTGAGCTTTGAGACTGAAGCCACTGGTGCTTCCTTCTTAGTAGAAGCCAACTGCAGCTCCATTAGCTCTGTCCTTGGATTAATTTTGTGATGTTGTTTTCCCCAGAATAACCTCAGAAAACGTGGCAGAGAAGTTTGGAGTGTCCCGAAAGAAGCAAGATGCCTTTGCCTTGGCTTCACAACAAAAGTAAATGCTTTTTTTTTAAAAAAAAAAATGTTTTAATTAAGAAATACAGAGAGTGAATGCAGTGCTGCTTCCCGGGAGTGGTTAAGTGCAGCCTTCGTGCTGCTTTCCAAGCCTTACCAGTGAGTGAAGAAGCTTGAGGTGGTCAGGGGAAGATCAGAGTGTGTCCCGGGTGGTGTGATGAGGAAACCCGAGCCCAGGGCCGTGCTGGGGGTTGTGTGACTACCTTGCACACCTCCCACTGGCCACGCCAGCCCTGAGCAGTGAGTGCCCCGGTGGTTTTCAGCATCCAGAGGATACAACTCTGTGAGGTTCCTGAAAGAAATGTATAGAGCAGTTTTGTTGTAGCAGCTTTGGCTCAGTGTCATTTGAAACTGAACATGGGAGTGGCAGCAGGAGGAACTTTTCCTAAGAGGGAATGCTGAAGTGTTGCTGTTTCTGGAGAACTGCCAAGCCTCTGAGCAATGTGGCTTGTCTTCACTGCAGGTGTTTGGCTCCAAGTGAGTCCAGTCCCACCTCTGATAACCCTCCTCTGAGGTTAAATCACCACCAGAGGCAACTGGAACCTGTGGGGCTGTACTGGCAGTCCAGCAGCAGGTGATACCTTCATGTTCCTGCCATCAAAGAGTTAAACTTTCAGAACTCTGTTTAAGCATCACCCTGCTCCAGTGATTTATCTAGTACAGGAAGGCACTGCAGAGGCCAGTTAACCTTTAAGTTCTGGCCCCTGTCTCCGGGAAGCTGGGTGCCAGCCTCTCTCACTGACACTGAGCTGACAGTGGGGATGGGAACACCATCTGTGCCTCCCACAGGGGCAGGGGTCACCTGGCCTCGAGCTCAGGATGCCTCTGGAGCTCCTGATCTGTCCTTCAGCACTTCGCCCTAACTCCTGGTTACCTTCACATTAAATATGCTCATTTTATTAGTAAAAGCATAAAGTGATGAGGGAGTAAAACAACCCTTCAGTCTCCCAAGTCATATTCCCTGTAAATGGTGCTCTGCTGCTGGAAGGAAAATAATCTAAATCAGCTCTGCTGTGGAGGCCTTTAAATACCTTCTTGACATGAGAGATTAAAACTGTGTGTCCTGAGCTGAGTCTAATTCAGCTAATTGTGTTCTGCTACTCCTATCAGTCTGGTCACATCAGTTGTTCCCCCCTGCTAATGCTGCTGTCTTGGGGACAGCCCCTGTCTTAGCTCCTGACCTTTACTGCTATATTAAGTGATAGCCTTCTCTGTAGTCATGTTGAACTCTGCAACATACATTTTGGGTTTAAAGTTTACATTCATAGAGTCATTAAGGTTGGAAAAGACCTCTTAAGATCATCAAATCCAACTGTCAACCCAACGCTACCATGACCACTACACCATGTCCTGAAGTACCACATCTACACATTTTTTGAGCACCTCCAGGGATGGTGACTCCACCATCTCTCT